CTGTATTCGTAGGGAGCTGGTTAGCTTGTCGAGACATCCGCATCTTCAATTTTGAAAATTTACCAAGATTGATTAATATGCATGAAGTTAGCCAATCACGTGATTTACAAAATCAGTCATGCATACGATATCCCACATCAAATTTGATGTGGGAAATCGTACGCATGAATCGTTTGCCCAGGCCCTAATTCGAAAAAAAAGAAATCGAGTATGGGACGCCAATTAAATTAGGTATGGCGCGCACTAATTGCAATAAAGAGTGAGTAACCTAAAATTAGGGCCTGGAACCCAGGCTACATCTTGCTGTACTCCAACATCACTGGCGCATGGTAACAACCAACTGGCAGACATTTCCAGTCACACATTACTCTCCATAACGCAACACCCCTTGTTCCGTGTCATCTGGATTTTAAAATGACACAAGTATTCTTTGTATTTGAAGATTATTACAGGGCTAGGCCTAAGCCTAGGCTGACGTCGAGCCGAATCTTTAGGAGCTGACTGGATTTCAGCCCTTGTCGGTTCTGGTGAACAGGCTTTTGAAAGGCGGTGGCTATGCCTAGGCCTAGTGAAATTGTATCAGGCTGCTTTAACTTCCGCATTATAGTAATACTGATTTAGACCTAGCTAGTTCAGAATAAGTGTGTAAATGAAAATGTATTGCTGGAAATGGATTGCTATAAACAAAAATTAGAAATTGCTTGTTGCATCGCCAAAACAATTGATCTCTCTGGGTGTCAAATTAACAATGATATGAACTGGGCCAAGAATATACGTTTGTCGCACAAATGCATGTGTCCCTCAAACACCTATAAATTCAGCTTCTTCCCAAGGACACTGAAACACTGGGTTGCAGTATCCAAGGAAATAATTGAACTGCCCACTATAGACACTACTAAAGCAGTTCAAGGGTGCCATCGAGACCATACTGTAAATAGTCGCATGAACTTAGCACTGTTAGTTAGTGTTATTGCACTGGAACAAAGCTGTCTATCGGCGGCTGAGCACCCTCGTCGAGATGCTGCACAGGCTTTGACGAGTATTGAAGTAGAAGAAGTAGTACAGTACTACAAACAAATGTTTACCCTGTTGTTTTGTGGGATGTGTTAACAGATATATCCCAGGGGTGGGGCTTAGCAGAAGCCACTCTGTAAAGTATATTGATGACAGTTTACTCAGTAGAATAATAAATGTGTACAATTGAATATATTTAATACCTTTTTTGACCTTTGACTTTCAGGAAGAACGAGAAGTTTTGCAATCCATCTACGAAGGAGATGAAAATTTTAAAGAGCTGAACCCAACCACATTTCAATATCGGGTAAAATGTTTTAAGATAATAGCAGATTAGAAAACGGGTGTTAAAATTGGCTTGTCTGTTCAGATTTTGAGACAGAGGGCGTTCTTGGAACACGAAAGATTGTGTGGTGTGTTGTAGAGGGCAGTATCCTACACTGATAGTGTGTATTAATATTTTGATCTTTTTTTTTGCAGGTTGGAGACATTGGTCATTTTAAATCATTTTTATTAGAAATTGCCTGGGGTGATAATTATCCAACAGAGTTACCTAATATTAACTTTGATACATTCTACATTAATCATATGTAAGTGATGTACACATATTTCAAACTCTTTTTTCAGGAAATTATTTCTATTTTTGTTGACTTTTAAATATGAGTTAATCTACTATGTAAATTATTACCATGTTGTGTTATAGGTTCACACTGTTGTTAATTGCACAGATATTGGTTGATAAGGAAAAAATCCCTAGACCTATATTAAATAGTATTCATCAGTCCAAAGCAAGTAATTAAATTCGTTTTACTAATGATCATCATAAGTAGATTGTTATTTTCTCTCATTTTATTATTTCTTGTGCTCAACAATTATGTAATGGACATAGAATGTAAATGTGATATATATATTGTATATATAGGCCTATATATTGTAATATATTATAGTATACACACACACAC